CGCATTCTACACGCAATAAATATCTCATAAGATACTACCCTTGTAAAAATCGATATTTTCCACAAACGTCGTTTAAAATTAGACAAAGAGAAAAGTCTATTCGTGGCTTTATAGTAAAAGCTACAGCCTTGCAATAACCGATTCCTGGTATTACTTAAAGTGTCACAATTCCAATCAGACTGTATTGTCGACATTGTAAACAAATATTGGCGTTTTTGTTAAATAAAATGAAATAGTAAATAAATGAATTTTAATATACGCAGCTAACGTATAAGATACTACCCTTGTAAAAATCGATATTTTCCACAAACGTCGTTTAAAATTAGACAAAGAGAAAAGCCTATTCGTGGCTTTGTAGAAAGAGCTACGGCCTTGCGATAATGGACTCATGGTATTACTTAAAGTGTAGCAATTTTAATAAGACTTTATTGTCGACGTTGTAAACAAATATTGGCGTCTTTGTTAAATAAAATGAAATAGTAGAATAAATGAATTTTAATATACGCAGCAAACGTATAAGATACTATCCTTGTAAAAATCGATATTTTCCACAAACGTCGTTTAAAATTAGACAAAGAGAAATACCTATCCGTGGTTGTGTAGCAAGAGCTACGGCCTTGCAATAACAGACTCATGGTAATTACTTAAAGTGTAGTAATTTTAACAAGACTTAATTGTCGACGTTGTAAACAAATATTGGCGTCTTTGTTAAATAAAATGAAATAGTAGAATAAATGAATTTTAATATACGCAGCAAACGTATAAGATACTATCCTTGTAAAAATCGATATTTTCCACAAACGTCGTTTAAAATTAGACAAAGAGAAATACCTATCCGTGGTTGTGTAGCAAGAGCTACGGCCTTGCAATAACAGACTCATGGTAATTACTTAAAGTGTAGTAATTTTAACAAGACTTAATTGTCGACGTTGTAAACAAATATTGGCGTTTTTGTTAGATAAATATAAAATAGTAAAATAGATAAATTGAAAATAGTAAAATAGATAGCAAGGAAAAATGTGGAAAGAAATTGACTTTAAAAATACCAAATTTTTTGATGATTGTCAGAAATTTTGTAAATTGACAAATGTTAAAGTAATAATGATTTCTTTTATAATCTTGGATGAATTCAAAATTTTCAAAATATTCCAAAGTATATTTTCAAGAAAGCTAGATTTTTTCAGAAATTTGAAAAATCTCTTTAATCGATTTTTTCAGAGTTCTAAAAGAAAATTGAATATTATTTAAAAATTCGAATTTTTGATACGGGAAGCCTTAAAGCACGATGCCATGCACCACTAGTTTTTCAAACATCTAAAAAATGTATAATATAGTTAAATTTAATACAAAAAATCACATTGGTGACCCCGACATAATTCTTAAATCAAGCCTCATTCGAATTGGTATAAAAGTAAAAATGACCTTTGACGGGACAACCATTGGGTTGCTTTATATCAGTACCAAGTTGTAAAAAAAATTCTTCGACAGCTTGCAGATTCGTAGAAAGAGTTATTAAACAAAGAGAAAAACATGTCCGTGATTGTGTAGTAAGAGCTACGGCCTTGCAATAACAGACTCATGGTCCTATCCTTAGGAACTTGGAAATATAAATTTAAGTATTACTTAAAATGTAGTAATTCCAATCAGACTTTATTGTCGACATAGTAAACAAATATTGGTGTTTTCGTTAAAAAAAATATAATAGTAAAATAAATTTTTGTACCGGCTCTGAAATAAAAAACAAGGAAAACTGTGGGACAAAATTTACTTTAAAAATGCGAAATTTCCTGGTCATTGTCAGAGATTTTGTAAATTGGCAAATGTTAATGTAACATGAATTCAATGGATTTTCTTCTTAATATTGGATTTATTTTTAAAACATTACATTCTAAAAAATGTTTAAGATAGTTAAATTTAATTAAAAAAATCACATTGGTGACCCCGACATAATCTTTGAATCAAGTCTGATTCGAATTAGTTCAAAAGTAAAAATGACCTTTCGGGAAGTATAGACAACCACTGGGTTGCCTTATAATAATACCAAGTTGTAAAGAAATGATCCGGCATCTTACAGATTCGTAGTCAGAGTTACGTTTTTTTTAATTTATCTACCACAGGAGTGTTTTATCTTTGTATCTATTTATCTGATGGCCAAAGTATGTATATTTACTGATGATGAGACTAATGATGTTGGCAAATGCCCAAAAATAGAGCGAATTTAAATGCGTTTAAAGATCTCCCGTCGCGATTGAAACCGAAATAGACATTTTGTTTTGACACTCGCTTTGAACAAAATAAAACATATCGGATAATAGACAGGGAGTCGGTGGTACATTAAAATTATCTTCCGTATAGTACCTGGTATATTTTGAAATTATACTGGATCTGATAATTTACCTAGATTTTTATGTTTTATACTAAAAGTATATACAATTACGATTATTACTTTACCAAAAAATTACTAAAGCATGTGTATAACCAAATAATTTATTAAATAAAAATTAATGTATGACTTCTATTTCTTCGTGAGGACATTCAGTTTCGAAAAAACTACTCTAGAAGTGCCGAATAATTAAAGTTTTGGGTTTTGGTAAACAAAAAATTCGAACTAAAACAATCTTTTTGGCGCCACTTTTGGGTTAGCATGAAAAATTTAAATTAGAATTTAATAAAAGTGTTAATAAATTTTTTTTAAAGATTACACTGATGTTAAAATAAAATTTGATACCAATTTTTGAATAACAACAAATAATTTATCTTTAGATGATATAAATAAATTGAGATGCATTCAATTATTCAAGAAATAATACAGGCGTCACGAACAAAAATCTTTATAAATTAGTACTAAAAATTTAGGATTGTAATATGATTAAAAAAATCGTAATTTAATATACAATATATTGAAATGATATATAGAATCTTAGCATACAAGTATTTGTTATAGGTAGTTTCTATATTTCATTTCAATTCATTATTTTATTAAATAAATTTTATATGTTAACTTTACTTAGGTGTAATTTTTTCAACTCTTTTTTTTTACTTATTTTATAATATTTTTGTTACTTATTAAATATTTTTCTTTGTTATTTTTTCTAGTTTTGTTTCCACTGAGGAAGAGTCAAATTTGGGACCCGAAACGTATGTATGAGTGTCTGAAATATTTTTTATTTTAATATCCGTCGTTAAAAAAAAGTAGATTTATTAAAGAAATGTATATATTTTTAATAAAATTGTGTTCGTAAAGACTGATTTTTAGCAGCATTTAGAGTCTTTATGAAAGAAAACCTGAAGATGGAGAATATCTAGATCCGAAACGTCTTCAAAAAATTATTTTCATAAAATGCATAATGGATTTTTCAGTAAACATTTTTAATAAAATTTTAGTGAAATATAACCACCATTCTAATTGCAAATAATATTATCTAAGGGGTGTCCATTAATCACGTGATCAATTTTTTAGGAATTTTTAGACCCTCATTCCCCCTTGGTGATACATTGTAATATTTAAAATCAACCCCTCTCCTACCAAATATCACGATTTTTAGTTTTAGTTACGAGAAAAAAATTTTGAGAACCTTTGGTTTTTTTTAAAGAAATTCAGAAAAATTGTAAGTAATTTAAATCCCTCACTTCCCCACGTAATATTTTGTAATTTTTTGACAAACCCCCTAAAATCCTCTCGTGATTAATCGACGCCTCCTAAAAATTGTCTCAAATGTAGTTAAAAATCAAAATCATAAAACGAATTTAAATAAAAAAAATTAAATGTTCAAATAAAATTTAATAAAAATTTTAAGATGTTCAATATAAATAAATATTGTATGTACGTATGTATGAGCATCCGATTTGAATGATTCAAAGAACATTCAATTCATAATGATGGGGAGAAGTAGTGGTTAGTTTTTGTCAGAGTCAGGTCTAGCCGTTTTGGAAATACGGAGCTAAATGTGCATAAAAGGGTAGTTTTTGAGCGAAATAAGCATCCGATTTGAATGATTCAAAAAACTTTCTGCTAGAGCTGACGATTGCTTTTGGGAAAAGCAAAGAAAAATTTTTATTCATTTTTTTCTAATTTCCAAAAAAAAATTCTTTAAATATCAAAAATATTTCAGATTATCAAAAGTTTAATTCGTTACGGGAAGACCCTGAAAATTGCCTCAAGGCACGATGCCATACACGACTAGTTGTATATATTTTGTGTGTGCATGTATGTATTTTTGTGTGTGTGTGTGAATGTGTAAGTATGTGTAAGTATGTGTACGTATGTGTATGTATGCGTATTTTGTATCGTGAGTATGTATGTATGTATGTTGTGTCTGTAAGTATGTATGCATGCCTGTGTGTACAGGTATGTATGGATTTGTGTGTATATATGTATTTAAGTCTATTACATATGTATGTAGACTATGTGTGCTTTGTTGTATACGTATGTAAATGTATGTATGTATGTACACATGCTATGTGTATGTATATATGTCTATGTGTATAATATATGTTATGTAAATATGCGATAGCTTGTGAAAATTGTATTTTAGATTGCTGTTTAATAAATATTTGAAAAAAACGAAGAAAAAGTGTATAATATATGTGCGTATGTATGTCTATGTGTATAATATGCGTATGTATGCATTTTATATCTGTAAGCAAGAATGTACACATGTATGTATTGTCGTGTGTATAGGTATAATGTATGTATTTCTGTTGGTTTAAAATTATGTACGTAATATATGTAAATGTATATGAATGTGTGTATGTATGTGTGTTAATAATTTTTGCAAATTATATTGGAAAAACTATTTTTTTCCAAATACAAATTGCATATTCACTCTTCGCACTCGACATAACGGAATTATTAACTTCCCAAAAATTTGCGTAACAAAACTTGTACGAAACTAAATTTTTTATAATACACATATATATATATATATATATATATATATATATATACATACACATATATATATATATAGATATACATATATAATATATAATAACAAAACCTTTTATGCGTACAAATCCTCGCCGGTCGCCGGTTGTCTCCAACACCACTTTTTGCACAACCGAAGTAGTACTTTGATACACTTTACACAAAACACAAAAATCCAACTTTTGAGTACTTTTTAAACCACAAATAATAATCAAACTTCGTAACAATATAATAAATATATATATAACGTTTAAAACGCGCACTCACTCTTATTTAAAATTTAAATTTTAAATTGGCCCCATTGGAAAAGAAAACAATAACTAAGATACTTGGTGGTCCCAGACAATAACGAAGTTACTTGTAAATTTGATATATAAGGTAATTGATATTATGTTAATTTAATATTTTTGATATTTAAAAGTGTTCCCGGAGTGAAACCTTTTTGGTTTAAGTACAAAACACTAAATTTATCGTTAGTAAGTACAAAACACTAATTGGACCGCATGGCGTGCAAAATGTTTGAAGTCACTTCAGTCAACAATAAAACACTAAACAGCACTTTTAATTAATTTAAATGTTATTATAAATATCATATTTATATAAATATTTATTTATTTAAAGTAATTATATGCACTATGATATATTACCAATATTGGTGTTACAATCTATCCACTAATCCTGGACCACATGGTACAACTTAACTACTAGGTATTAGTATTATTATTAAATTATCTCTAGTATCTATTTTATTTTATCTATTACTATTTCTATTACCTTTTGGTCCGCGGCACCGATATGCAACAAATGTAGATAAAGTTTTTTTTTTAAATTTTTTCAATTTTTTCGTAATATTTTACTGCAAAACCCGATACGACTTGCCCGGCGCAAGCATCGTTTGGCGACTGAATTCAATTCCTCCGACAATTTCATGAAGAGAAAAGACGGTGGATGCGCGCGCATTCAAAGGTGTAGGACTATGTTTGATGATGGATTTGATGGTAAGAAGGTGGTAAGATTTTTTTTTTTATTCAACAATATATTTACAACAGTCCTACATAACTATTAAGTAAATCTTTTGGCAATTATATGTAAAAAATGACATCGATATATAAATAGTGAAAAATACACAGTTGCATTTTTCCTTTATAAGAAGTAATATAATGTGATACGAGTAATTACAAGCTAATTACATCACTAAATATAAAGGTAGTAGGATTGTTGGTGCAGAAATAGTGAAATATGTATACAGTCGACCCGCCGTTAACGCGGTTATGTGTACACGGTTTCCATACAACGCGGAGGTAAAAGTCCCATATACGTCCGATAACACGGACTTCCTATTACAAGGTTTTTGTTCATAAGTTTCTTGCGCAACCTATGAGTGATTCTAGTAACTTGATATCAAAAAGGGTATTCATGTAAGTTTTTTATCTACTTTTATATTTTAGACATGTCTGATTATATAATAGCTGTCTAAGAACACGTTTGAGCTGACTACTGCATCGCGCCAATTTTTGAATAAGGTGTCAATGTCATACATGTCATTTCGTCCGTATTACTCCTACTTCAAGTTGTATTTCTTGGTCTCCATACAGCACGATAAAATGGTGCAATTTGTACTAATTCTGAGTCTCTCATAACGCGGTTCCCATACTGCACTATATAAGTTTCCATAGAACGCACTACGAATAGCCTGAATTGTATAAGAGTTTTTTATAGCACGGTACGCACTTGCCGCGTTTAACGGAGGGTTGACTGTATATAGACATCAAAATTATAACTATAACTAGTGCCTTAAGGCAAATTGCTAGAACTTCCAGTACCACAAATAAATATTCGAGCAAAAATTAGTTGGATTGGTATTTTGCCTTGAAGCAAGTTACATGGAACTTCCCGATATGTGTAAATAATCGACTTAATCAATATAATTAATTTATGAATGATTAGAAGTATTCCGACTGAATTTATTACACATAATTGAAAACGAACGAACACGTTAGTAATCGGAGTAATTTCTAGAAGCAAATTTTCGATTTTTATATTTGGACCAGTTTCCTTAGGACTTTAATGGTTTAGTATGTTCTTTAAGACCAAGTACTCTATCGTAATACCAAGTAAATCGTCTAATTTTAATTTTAACAAACGTCAAAAAAACTACTCATTTTCTCAAACTTTGATGAATTTTTAAAATTAAACTACTTGTCGTAATTCAATAAAAATCGTCTTTATTATTTTCAACTGTTAATTACAAGAAAACGGCTCGATTTTCAACTAAAACTAATCAGTATCATTCCCAATAAATATCTTTCGAACAGTTTTTGATTTTTTAAAACCGATTCGGTAGAATGAGCTTAAATGTGGACGCAAAGTTTAACACTTTTTTCCAAATTACAAAGAAACGGCTTGGCAGATCGTAGCAGAAAACCGACAAACGCTAGTACACATCAAATAGCATTTAATTTTCTAAAATCGGTTCAAGCGTTTTTGAGAAAACGTCGATGAAAGGTCAAAAATCTGTTCACACACACACATACTTTTCCCTTAAATTTGGTCTCATTCGATTCAGAATGGCTTAAAACGTCGAGAGAACATGAATACCGAGCAAATCGGATTTTTTGATGAAAACATAAATTTCTCCTTATATAATTGAAAAATAAATTACAATACAAAATGCCTAACATATTCTTCTGTACGTTTCATCACTATATACGTGCCATCAATTCAGCAGTTCTGAAATATCGGAAAAGATGAATTATTAATATAAACTAATAATAATGCATGAATAATTTATAAAAAAATACATACCTAGCGAAATTGAACTAAAAAAATATAACATTTCATATAAACATAATTAAAAAAAATTATAGGATTAAAATATTTGTAACAAAATTATGTTTGTTAAAAGTATTCAAATTTGACTATTGCAAAAAAAAAATTAAATGCAAAAAAGTGATTAAATTAATAATATAAAAATATAGAACTCGATAATGGAACATATACGGATTCGAAACGTCTAAAACATTTACAAATATACATATGTATATGAAAAAAAAATTAAAGAAATACATACCATACCAAACGAAACTAAAAATATAGAAAAAAATTAAAAAGCAACCAAAATTTAATTCAAAAAATTAAAATTATAGTATAAAAAATATTTAATAAAATTATGTTTGTTAGAAGTACTTAAATTAGACTTTTAGAAAGAAATGATTAACTGCACAAACATGAATAAATTATTAATATAATTTTAAAAAAAACTTGATGGAACACATGAAGATCCGAAACGTCGAAAATTATAACTTATTTACATAACCAGTACAAGTATATACACTATTATGAGTAAAATACTCACTTTTTAGTAAATGATGATGTTGCAAACGTTTCGGCACTATGTTTTATCCATCACCAGTGTGTACTTGAATAAATTATTTATTTTAGCTATAAAAAGACATCAGAACTTTAAATAGTGTTTAATTCGATGAATGAACATCGAAGAAATAAAAAACATGAAAAACCTGAAGATGGAACAAATCTAGATCCAAAACGTCGATAATTAGAACTTATTTACATAACGAATACAAATATATACATTATTGCATTAACATATATTAATTGAAAAAAATACAAATAAAATACTCACTTGTTACTAAATTATGTTAATGTTGCAAACGTTTCGGCACCATGTTCCATCCATCACCAGAGTGTGTACTTGAATAAATTATTTTAGTTATCTTGAAATATTGTCTTGATGATACATCTTGAAATATACACTACACAAATAAACAAATAAAAATTAATAAACTCATTAAAATTATTAACAATAAGTTGTTATATAAAAGTATTTATTCCAGTCAAATAAAAATAAATACAAATTAAATAAAAATCATTAACAATAATTAGTTATAGTTAAAATGTTCATAAGCATATAGATACTCATACATATATTAGGGTGGTCCTTGATATGGACATTTTGGAATTTCTTTGTTCCCAAGGGCTCAAATACCTCCAAAGTAATAAAAAAATATTGTCTAAAAATGTAAGCTTTTAATATTAACATTTAGACAGTCCGCAAATCAATTTAAAGTTTCGTATATTTATTACTACAATATATCCTTAATATTTATAAAAACACTTAACTTCTAATTAAATCTATGTGGACTGTTTAACGAAATAATTATTCATCATGGCATCAAAATTAATTTTGCATCAAAATATTTATTTAATTGATGATTTTGATACTCAAGTTATCAGTAATAAATTGCCATCAAAACTACAAGTCTGCAATCACAGATGGCGCAAGAATTTACTTAATGACATATGTTAATAATGAATATACGAAACTTATAATTGAATTGCGGACTATCTAACTAAATGTTAATATTAAGAGCTAAAACTTTCAGAGAATTTTCTTTTATTAGTTTAGAAGCATTTGAGCCCTTGGGAGCAAAGAAATTCCAAAAAGTCCATATCAAGGACCACACTAATATATGTATATACATATATCTTTTACTCCGTCTTTTAGTCAGCGTCTTTTACTATTATTATTATTATTTATAATATATACAAAGTTAAAATACTTAAATCTAAAATCACAAATTATATATACATAACACGTAGATATGAATCTGCATATAAATTAATAAATTAGAGTTTTTATAATGGCAGGATAAAATAATTTCGATAGAATAAATTTAATTAATTAATTAATTAATTAATTAATACCTAATATTAGTAAAATAATTCGAAACCAGTTACAACAAATTGCAGGTACTGGTAATAAGGGACGTACAAAGGTAAAAAATATTATATCTATTATATATATATATATATATATATATATAATTAATATATATATATATATATATATATATATTTGCTCTGTGACGTCACAAACCAACTTAAAATTTTATTAATTTCAAATAATTTTCACTATTTTTTTAAAATAGAGTTTATATTTTTATCAATTTTCTTATTAAAAAAAAGAGTTTTTATTCTAATACTTGTCTTTTAATGTATTTAAATTAAAATTAATTTAGTAAAAACTTATGCCTATAATAAATATGGTTAAAAACAATTTTGTACGTCCCTGTCTTTTTTTTTCTTTAACAATTCTAAAATTCAACACAATTTTTTTTTTGAAAATTTTTGATCGACACGTTGGTAGATATGATAAGAAAATATATATTAATAA